CTGAACCGAAAAACGGTGTGTATGTAATGAAGGATATGATTAATTGTTATTGTGTAATAATATTTTCTGGCAAGACGCCCGAATGTGCTAGGAGTAATAACAGCAGCACTGTTAAAGAGAACACGCAATGTATTTTAAAAAATTCCCAAAAACATTTGTTTCAGCCTCAAAAGTAACAGAGAGCAAGCACCAGCATAACCAACATAAGTGCAGCTGCAGTAAAAACAGCTGGGCAGTCAATGCGAACAACATGTAAATCAAAATTAAGTTGAACCAGTGCAAAGGCAAGCGGTTTCCACAAGGAAAACAGGTCACGTCTCGTCTGAAGTTAGCTCGGGGCACACAAAACAATGTCACGCGGTAAAAAAAAAACCTCAGGAAGAGGCTTGAAAGTTTTGTAAAAGTAACTGCACAAACAAATTATGCGCACCTCGCAGTACAGCTCCTTTTTACCATTTCGGCCAATCATTATACGATTTTTGGATAACTGCTCCTGTATGAGGACCACTTTTTCCGATCCACGCACAATAAAATAACCGCCCGGATCGTACGGACATTCCTGCACCCTAGCCAATTCTTTTTCACCCTGAAAAATTGTTTCTGAAATCGACCAATGTCTATTCCACCTCGCACACCCACTATTTTGCCTTGCACAAGGCCCGCCAATGTATACAGCCTTCAGAATTCGCACACTCGAAACAGCCTGCCTTAATGTTTCCAGCAACAGGTTCGCCACAACGAGTTGCCAACGGAACAGGAGAGGCGTACAGAGACACAGAGAAATCGGTAGCTGTTAAAAAAAAAAAAAAATACAACAACAACTCTGTGCATGCGAGTGGAGGGAATTCGGTTAACTCGCTCATGTTCCAAAAGCATTCAAAAACTACCATGTTTTTGAGGATGCACCTGCTGGAGCGCAGCATCACAGGCATTTTACCGATAACAAGGCCATTCCTGAGCACACGCTGATTGCCACGTGTGTATTCAATGTCAACAACAACTGGCGCCGAATAAGTCATGTCACGAAGGCGGCACTCATGCGGGCTTATCCGATCGTTGATTTCATTGAAGCCCTCCTCGCTCGACGGCATTCCGACCCGAATATCAATGTACCTGCAACAGAAGCTCCTTATCATTCGGCTCTTTCCTCACCAAACGACTGGCATGTAATGGATCACTCGACCTCGACTATCTCTGGAGTGATGAGAAACCCCGAACGGATGGCCCTAAGAAGGTGACGAAACGCCTAAGTTCCACGGATGGCGAGCGCAGACACGTAGTTCCGGTATGCGTTGCACTCCAGTCCCAAAAAACTAGCAATTTGTAATTCCCAAAAAAAGAAGCTGGAATCATACTTGAGATAGAAGGACGGGTTGGCATCGCTTGTGATCAGATTGTTCGCATGCAAAATCTTCTTGATTTCCGTATTCACAAAGTAGTCGTAGCTCGCTATGTGCTGCTTCACCAGGCCACGAACCTGCAAGAGCAAGAGGACCCGGTTAAACAAAAAAACCCCAGCAATAGCAATGTTCCAAGTGTGGAAAATAATAAAATTTTGCTTCCACTTACACTTGCAACAACTATTCACTGCCCGGTACATTAGCATTTCTGGTAAAAAGCAACAATTCCGAGCATCTCATCGACTACAGGGAAACGTGTCGGCAGCAAGCAAGCACACCGCGATGCATTTTGTCTGGCTAAGCACTTGGCAGTGGAACTGGTACGCAAACCTGGCAGAACGAAGAAATCGAAAGCCCATGTGCTACGCTCTCTGCACTCCTCGACCGAGCCCGTGGCCGGATAACGGTGAGAGCAACTGTTACGAATTTCGGCTGAGACCGATGCTTCTCGATGTGTAGCTCGTTATCGTAAATGATATGACCCAGGCGCCGCCCGCGCTGTGTACGTGTTTGTATGTAACGCAGCGTAACGTGGAGGGATGGCAGAACGAATTTGGAGAGAAAGAGAGAGAGAAGGAAATGGGGACATTGGCGGAATGAGCTCCGCCAGTCCTCTCCAGACACCTCATCTGAGTTCCGCTCATCCAAAATGAGGCACTCCCACTGCGACCAGCGACGACGACGACGACGACGACGAGGGTGGCTGCTGTTCTGTGTGGAATATGAATGCGCGCTGATAATAATACCATAAGCGATCATCCTGGGAGCTATAAATACAAAAGCTCGACGAGCAGCGGAGAGAAGTGCGAGGTGGCTGCAAAGCGCTGGCGCTCGTAAAGGAAATGTAGGTCGGGTGAAATCTGTGTGAACCTGGCTGCATCAAAATCAACCCGTTTCAGCACCAGCAATTCATGCATGCCCGCCAGGCAGCAGCAAAATCCCCCGACAGACGGCTTTCAGATGTGAAAACGCTCCCGGCACTAACACAATCAATTCTAGAAGTGCCGGAAATTCGGAAAACTCTCGCATCATTCCAACTGGAAGTATACACCCTTGGCCTGGCATCCAGAGCACCCCAGCCATATCACTAATGTGCGCTGATAACCCGGACAACGTTGCTGTCTGAAAGAGAACAGCAAAAATCTCTTTTTTTTAATGCTCCACAAGAAATCGCTTCATATCAATACTGAACGGCAATTTTTCACATTCTTATGGGAAAAAATAATTGGCCAACGCACGGGCTGAAGTGCGAAGATGCGTTTTTTGCATGGTTCCCCGCAGTTTTTGTTGCTACCGGCACCGGTTTCTTCGGCAAATGATTCTAGCTAAACAAATTAAGACTAGCCACCAGAACTGTCAGAAAACATTCCCTTTAAAATTTCAAC